GCTTCCCTTTAGAAGGTGTTCCAGGCATGTCCCACTGGTAGGAGGCCTCCTCGGGGAAGACTGAGGAAAAGATCGGGGAAAAGTAATGGTTATATGAAAGCAACATGGCGAGTAATGAATAGTGTTCTGAAAAATCATAAAACAAAATCAGGTATTTCACAATATTTTGTAAAGGATAACAATTAAATTTATGATCAGAATGAAATTGTAAATAGATTTTATCATTATTTTGTGAATGTTGGCCAAAGTCTTGCAGCTAAAATACCAAAAGTAAATAATAATGTGAGTCATACAGTCATGGGCCAACAGTATTTTTCTTGATGGAACTGATAAAGAAGATACACTTAATATTCTGAGTAAATATTGCAGATAAAAGATCAAACGACTGGGTGAACATGGACATGATGTTTGTAAAGGCTATAAAGAATTATGTTATTGAGCCATTTACATATGTGATTTATCATTTTCAACAGGAATATTTCTAGACAATATGAAAATAGCCAAGGTAATTCTTCTTTTTAAGAATGGTGAGAAATGTGCGTTCAACAACTACAGACCAATATCCTTGTTACCACAGTTTTCAAAAATTTTAGAGAAACTACACTCACCACTGACTTTATTAGGTACACCTGTCCAACTGCTCATTAACGCAAATGTCAAATCAGCCAATCACATGGCAGCAACTCTACAGCAACACATGTAGACATGGCCAAGATGATCAGCTGCAGCTCAAACCGAGCATCAGAATGAGGAAGAAAGGGGATTTAAGTGACTTGAGCGTGGCATGTTTGTTGGTGCCAGACAGGCTGGTCTGAGTATTTCACAAACTGCTGATCTACTGGGATTTTCACCCACAACCATCTCTAGGGTTTACAGAGAACGGTCTGAAAAAGAGAAGATATTCAGTGAGCGGCAGTTGGGCACAAATGCCTTGTTGATGCCAGAGGTCAGAGGAGAATGGCCAGACTGGTTCGARCWGATAGAACRGCAACAGTAACTCAAATAACCACTCGTTACAACCGAGGTCTGCAGAAGAGAATCTCTGAACACACAACACGTCCAACCTTTAGGTGGACGGACTACAGCACCAGAAGACCACACCGGGTGCCACTCCTKTCAGCTAAGAACAGGAAACTGAGGCTACAATTCACACAGGCTCATCAAAATTGGTCAATAAAAGATTGCAAAAATGTTGCCTGGTTTGATGAGTCTGGATTTCTGCTGCAATATTCAGATGGTAGGGTCAGAATTTGGTGTCAACAACATGAATGCATGGATCCATTTTGCCATGTATCAACGGTTCAGGCTGGTGGTGGTGGTGCAATGGTGTGGGGGATATTTTCCTGGCACGCTTCGGGCCCATTGGTACCAATTGAGCATTGTGTCAGCACCACAGCCTACCTGAGTATTGTTGCTGACCATGTTCATCCCTTTATGACCACAGTGGACCATCTTCTGATGGCTACTTCCAGCAGGATAACACGCCATGTCATAAAGCCTGAATCACCTCAGACTGGTTTCTTGAACACAATAATGAGTTCACTGTACTTGAATGGCCTCCACAGTCACCAGATCTCAATCCAATAGAGCATCTTTGGGATGTGGTGAAACAGGAGATTCACATCATGGATGTGCAGCGGACAAATCTGCAGCAACTGTGTGATGCTATCATGTCAATATGGACCAGACTCTCTGAGGAATGTTTCCAGTACCTGGTTGAATCTATGTCACGAAGGATTAAGACAGTTCTGAAGGCAAAAGGGCCAACCCGGTACTAGAAGTGTGTACCTAATAAATAGGGGTGCAACAATACATGTACCCGTATCGAACTGTTCAATACAGTGCTTTAGGTTCAATACACACTTGTATCGAACAATACAGATTTTTTTTAATTTATTTTATCAGCTTGTCTTTTGAAGATGCTGTGTTGAAGGATCAATTTATCTGTGTTCGACCACTCCACTTACACTTCATTTTCGAGTGCAGATCCACTGAGAAACTTGCTGTTTCAGCAACATTTAATTTAAAAACTACTTTTGAGGTTAAACAAATGTTCATAATTAATTTAAGTAAATTAGAAGTTAAAAAGGGCATGGACATTTCTCTTTTTTGTATCGAAACAATTTTGAACTGTGAAACTAAAGTATCAAACCAAACCCAATCGTGAATTTTCTGTATCGTTGCACCCCTACTAATAAAGTGGCCGGTGAATGTCTTTGTGACCAGATTAGATCAATTTATGCGGTGGAATGAAGAGGCTCTCCAAGATGTTTTCCTCCAAGCTCTCAACGAAGACAGCAAGAATGAGTTGGCCACAAGGGATCCACCTCACTCTCTGAAAGAACTGGAGGACTTGGCTACCAGAATCGATCTCCGTCTCCATGAATGCAGAATGGCTAGGAGAGGTAACCAGAGAGCAACTAATCTGTTAACATTGTATTGAATCAGGAAGAGGCAGAACCCAGTTTATGCCTTCAAGTCTTGAGAGAAATGTGGAGGAACCCATGCAGATTGGCAGGTCAAAGATTACTCCAGAGGAGGGGATTTGCAGAGTAAGAGAGGGGCTTTGTTTCTACTGTGGAGATTCTAATCACATGGTCCATTCCTGTCCTAAGAAGACCACTGGTAGAATCAAGGCGATGAGTCACGTTCTCAGTCCAGCCACAGTGAGTCAGACACTCTTACAGCTTCCAGCTGACTTAACTGTGGCAGGTAAGACACTACCTATTAAGGTATTAGATTCTGGAGCTGACACAGAGTTCATTGATTCTGATTTTGCAACTTCTTTGGGATTACAGATAAAGCCTTCAAAGATGAAGCATCATGTCTTGGCTCTTGATGGACACCAATTGGACAACACCAGTTCAGAGAAAGATCTGGTAACGATTACCTTGGGAGGAAACCACCATGAGACCATCAGTTTCATGGTAATAAACTCACCCCAACTCCCCATTTTTCTTGGAGCCACTTGGCTAAACAAACACAACCCTCACATTGATTGGAGAAAGGTTTTAGGTTGGTCCGAGGAGTGTTTATCTACATGCTTGCTTAATGCTGTTAACACAAGAGAATCTGAAAAAATAAAAGATCCTACTATTAACCTTTCCAATGTGCCTCCCGAGTATCATGATTTAAAGGAAGTGTTCAATAAAGCAAAGGCAACTTTTCTGCCCTCCCAAAGACCTTACGACTGTCCCGTAGATTTATTACCTGGTACCACTCCACCAAAGGGAAAATTATATTCTTTGTCACAGCCTGAGACCCAAGCAATGAAAGATTATATTGATGAATCTTTGAGAACAGGTATAATCCGTCCTTCTTCCTCACCAGCTGGAGCTGGTTTCTTCTTTGTTGGTAAAAAGGATGGTTCACTACATCCGTGTATAGATTACAGGGGTTTAAACAACATCACTGTCAAAATCATTATCCCTTACCATTAATGAACACTGCCTTTGATCTGATTCAGGAAGCCAAGGTTTTTACCAAGTTAGATCTTCGTAATGCTTGTCACCTAGTCCGTATCAGAGAAGATGAGTGGAAGACGGCCTTTAACACACCATCTGAACACTACGAATATCTGGTCATGCCTTTTGGGCTAACTAATGCCCCTGCAGTCTTTCAGAACCTGGTCAATGATGTCCTAAGAGACTTTATTAATGTTAATGCCTTTGTTTATTTAGATATCCTATTTTTTTCTAATTTAAAGACCCATCAGAATCATGTCCATGCCTTCCTTCTCCGTCTGTTACAAAATAAGCTCTATGTTAAAGCTGAGAAATATGAATTTCACACGACTGAGACCACTTTCCTTGGCTTCAAAGTATCACCTGGACAGATTGCTATGGATCCCACTAAGGTGGCAGCAGTAAAGGATTGGCCCATACCACAGACTCATAAACAGCTATGAAGATTTCTTGGGTTTGCAAACTTTTACCGGCGTTTTAAGAACTTTAGCTCCATTGCGTCACCTCAACAGACTGACCTCTGTTAAGACCAAGTATGTTTGGAATCAGGATGTAGAGAAAATTTTCAAAACTAAGAACTATGTTCACGTCTGCACCAGTCCTTCGCGTCCCCAGCACAGAACTTCAGTTTATTGTGGAGGTTGACGCCTCTAACTCCGGTGTTGGAGCCATACTCAGTCAATACTTCTCAGATAATAAAGTACACCCTTGTGCTTTCTTCTCAAAGTCCTTGTCCCCAGCAGAGAAGAACTATGATGTCGGCGATCGAGAGTTACTGGCAGTCAAGTTGGCTCTCGAAGAATGGAGACACTGGTTGGAGGGGGCCAAACAACCGTATCTGAAGGACACCAAAAGTAAATCCTCGACAAGCCAGGTGGGCACTCGTCTTCTGTCGTTTTGACTTCACTTTGTCTTACAGACCCGGGACAAAGAATTCCAAGCCGGACGCCCTGTCTGGAGTTTTTGAGCCTGACTAGACCAGTGGAAGCCAGGGAGGATTCATTCTCCCAGATTCAGTTCATCTTACTATTACCCAAGCCGAGAAGGAGGTCAGGGAGGCCCACCAGAACCACCTTCTTCCAGATGATTGCCCAGATGGTAAGCTCTATGTACCAGATCATCTTGTGGCTAAAGTCATTGAGTTTTGTCATGCCTCAAGCCTTTTCTGTCATCCTGGAATCACAAAGACAATCAAGTTAGTTAGGTCCCAGTTCTGGTGGGGTTCCCTGGAAAAGGACATTAGAGAATACATTGGGTCTTGCATCCAATGCTCCCTGGCCAAACCTTCTTGGCTTCCACCAGCGGGTCTCCTTAGGCCGCTCCCCATCCCATCTCGTGCATGGTCACATATCGCCATGGATTTTGTGACAGTTCTGCTGCAGTCTGAGGGTAAGACAGTCATCCTAACTGTGGTGGATCGTTTTTCCAAGATGGTACACTTGATAGCCCTGAACAATTTGCCAACTGCTAAAGAACTAAGCAATGTGTTCATTAAGGAGATCTTCAGACTACATGGCCTATCTAAGAATATTGTTTCAGATCGTGGTCCACAGTTTATCTCTGGCTTTTGGAAAGAGTTCTGTTCTATGCTTGGCGTAACACTGAGTTTGTCTTCAGGATGTCACCCCCAGACTGACGGCCAGACGGAGCGAGCTAACCAGGAACTGGAGATCCGCCTAAAAATACTGTGTGGCAACAATCAACCAAGTGGGTTGAGAACCTCTCCCTAACGGAACACGCTATCAACATCTTTCCCGCAAGTGCCACTGGTCTTTCCCCCTACTACGTTGTCAATGGATTTCAGCCACCAGTCTTCATCGTCCACTAACAGGCTGCTAGAGTTCCTTCAGCATATCAAGCAGATTTAAGATGTCAGCAAGTTTGGAGAGCTGCCAGAAAGGAGGTACGCAAATCTTCCTTGGTGGCATCAAGAACAGCCAACCGTAGAAGGATTTCTGCTCCCCATTACAAGGTTGAGGACCGAGTTTGGTTGGCCATGAAAGATTTACCTCTCAGGGTAGAACGCCACAAATTAGCTCCTCACTTTGTGGGTCCCTTTCCTATCTCTAAGGTAATCAACCCGGTGGCAGTCAGGCTCAGCCTTCCCGGATCCATGAGGGTCCATCCCACTTTCCATGTGTCCCGGGCCAAACCTGTTCTCCAGTCAAGATTTGTGCCCTCCTCCAGGCCCCCTCTTCCCGCCCGACTCATCGATGGTGGTTCTGTCTTCACTGTCAATAGTCAGCTAAAATCTCGCCGATGGGGACGACAAATCCAATATCTGGTGGACTGGGAAGGATAGGGACCTGAGGAAAGGTCTTGGGTTCCAGCTCGACACATTCTAGATAAGAACATAATTAAAACATTTCACAGAGATCATCCGGCCCAGCCAGGTCCACTCAGAGGTCCGTCAGGTGCCGGAGCTTGATGGGGGGTTCTGTTATTCTGTCCCTGTCTGCCCAGATCATGCCTCAGTTTAGTTTTATTATCTTATTTCATGTTCCAGTTTCTCCTCATAGTCTTGTTCCCAGCCTTACAGCTCACATCCAGCTCCTGCTCATTGCTCTCAACCCTCCCTTCATAGAAACCCTAATCAAGCTCATTTCACTCACCTGTTTCCTGCAGTATATAATCCAATCTCACTCTCCAGTTCACTGCCAGATTATCTTGAGCTTGCCTGTGGTTCTCCAGTGTTTTCATCCATGTCTTATTTTGCCTCTTGATCCTGACCTTGTTCTTGTCCCCTGGTTCAACGATTCTCGCCTCAGCCCGTAACGGATTATACCTGCCATCTGCTTTACCGGTAATGACTCACGCCTTGCTTTTTGGGCTCCTGCTCTTTGCCTCACCCCTGATCAGTACCTCCAGCCATCTGACCACCTGGATCTCGACCCATGCCTGTACCACGGATTATCAGAACTTGCCTTTTGGACCCAAACACTCCAACCAAATTAACGGGTGACGTCACCGCACCGTGCTGGAACGCAAACCCTTCCATCAAAGTTTCCGTCTGGAGTCCTTCAACTGGAAACAGGTTAGTGGCTTTAATTCTTTGGAAAGTCCTCCTATATCATTCTTCCACTAATCTGAATTTCTTGTGTTTAGATCTGACGAGAATCCAGTCCAAGCACTTCCTGGTTAATTCACCTCTGCACAATAAACTTTGTAAAACTTTGTCTTGGTCCGGTGCTTATTCAGAACTCAAAACTCGGTTCTTGTCAGATGGAGATGTTCGTGAAATCTAAATTTAGAACCAGTTTGAAGGAACTTCAATCCAAGAAATAAAAGTTTTGTAATAATCTAGAGTGGTGTTAAAATTGTCAGATCACGCAAACTTGTTTTTAAATCCTGATGCATCTCAGTAATCCAGGTAAAAAATCAGAAAGAAAAAAATTGTATAGGTCTTCTGGACGGGTTCTTCTCAAATGAAACGTTTCGTCTCTCTTCCAAGAGACTTCTTCAATCTGAGAGTTTCAGGCAAAATTCAGGCTTTTAAGCCCTGCCTCCATGTGACTGATACTCACATCACATGGCTAT